CAACAAAGGCATGGGTGCTTGGGGAACATTCTTGCTGGCAATAGTCAAGGTCATTAGTCACCATCCCTTGATGACTTCACCTTGGATTACCAGGCTGCCAGTCCTAAAATAAGTAAAGCAAGAACAGTGCAGGCATCAAAGAGGAACAGATAAATAAAGACCTTAAGTTTTTGAACCATTTAAAAGAGACACTATGCAGTCTTACCAAATGATCTAATAGTGGCCAATAATGAACTGCTATTCAAGATTTAGAGCTCTCCCCAAGACCTTCCAATTTTAGTTAACAGTATCTTCTTGGTCAATAAACCAGGGCAAAAAGTGGTTTAAGAGCACAAATAAGCTGTTAAATTTCCTCTAGGAAAACATTCTGTATTCCTTCTCCCTAAATAAAATCCACATCATTTGAAAACCCACGCATTTTCAAGCTAAAGCAAAATGGCTACGCGAGGGAAGCTGCCACATTACATTGTCCCAGCTGCTTCTCCAGCCACAGAACTTAACTCTCTCCAGATGTAACCCTTCACTCTTTCTCCCTCCTCATAATTTTTGTCTAGAGTAAAACACAACTGAAGGAGACTTTTTCTTTTCTCATGTGAATTCAAAAGGCAGGAGATAGTGAATTGCAACTTCAGTCATACATACTTCATAGAGTCTGGTTTTTTTTTTTCCCCCCTGGCCCTCGGATAGACATATAAGGGTAATGTGGTATTATGAGGAGCAAAAGAAAACTTAAAGTTGAGTCACAGGACAAGATTAAAAATATATGATAATGTATCAAAGAACAATTTTGATTCTAAAATAAGGGCAACTGAATGTAATTGTCTTACAGACAGTAGTATTAAGAATGGAGAGAGATTTTGTGCATGCTTGTGTCAGAATATGTATATATGTGTGTGAGACACAGAAGGCAGGAAAGAGAGAGAGAGAAAGAGAGTGATAGGGTAGCGGCAGGGGGAGAGAGGAACCCTCGTTATGTGGGTAAGGCGATAATTTATGAGGAACTGCTTCAGGTGTCGATCACAGGACAACTTCAAGAAATAAAAACCTTAGTAGAACATACTGATTGGGTGGAAAGAAGAGAAATCCAAAATAACACCAAAGACTAGGGTCCCGGTTAAACATACAGAGACTGAGGGAGGAAATGATGATGAGGTGATGCTCCTTTTCCTCTGACACGCAGTGCCTTGGTCAGTGTAAGGGTTGTGAATGACTGTGAGGGTCAGTATTGTAATGGGCAGGGTCCAGGATTGCACCCCTGAGAAGTTCTGTGGGCACCACTGATGGGCATGTAGAATTAGGCTTTACTTCTTAAAACCTCTTATTTATAAATTACCAAGGGCAACATATATTCTAAATTTACATTGAGAACAACTCATGGGCACAATCCAAATAGCTGGATGTCTGTATTTTACCTTAGGGTGGGAGGGTGCAGTAACATGGCTCTGTGTGACCAAGAGAATGTTATTTTAATTTATTGACCTGTGTTTATACTCGGCTGGGAGGGGTGGAAACAAAATGCAAAATGTCATGTGTCTGTGGTATAGATCATATAAGTGTAGATGCTTAATCAACTGGAGGAAGGTCTTAATTCCAATGGAGGAATTTTTCACAATTCGTTAGGCAATTTAATACTTTTAGCAATATCATCATTATGGTAATAGTTTTGAAAGAAGTCTCCTTTGAAGGTGACAACACCTCAAAAGCTGTGAAGGATTGCTAGCAGATTAGTTACTGTATCTATAGTGCTATCCATAGATGCCTACTAGACGTACCCATTCAAACTTATAAAATGCTCAGGATACCTGAGCCAAGGATACCTGAGACTCTCAGAAGCTACAGAGATGCATGGAAGCAATTCCTTCCCTTAGGACCTTCAGTGGCACCATGGCCCTGCTGGTCCCTAGATTTTTGACTTCTGGCCCTGAGAACTGTGTGACAATACATTTCTGTTTATTTAAGTCCCCCAGTATATGGCTTTTTGTTATGGCAGCCCTAGGAAATTAATACAGGGGAGAAAAATGGAGTTTTTAAAAGCTGAGATTTCTCATAGAAATAAAAATCATTAAGTATGCTTTGACCCCTAACAGTTAACTAAGTGAATTAAAATTGAAATCTAGAATATTAAACCTGATATGGCTTTTTAAAAAAGTTCCACTTAAAGCTTGGACAGTGGGTAATTATCTGGTGACTTAATTGTTTCTACAACACACCGCAAAATCAAAATAAGCAACAGCACGGTTATATTAAGAACATCCCTACTGTGTCATATCATGGCGCCAATAGAAGTTAAAATCAAGACTTTTTATTGTCAAGAAGCACTAGTATCAGGATACATTTTCATATGGATTTTGGCCAACAATCATAAATAACAGAACTTGCTCATAAACAATTCCAAAAGGCCGTGTGTCGGGCAGATGGTTTTAGTGGGGGGAGTTTAACATGGAAACAGAATTGTGCCTGATGCGTGCTGGCTACTCTGAACTCGCCATCAACTTAAACATCCCTGGAGTTATGGTTTTATTCAGTTCCCAAATGAATCTAAAGTTGCAATGTTTTAACTTTCCCAAGCAACTCTGCAACTCTGCCTCCTGATCTCAAGTTTGCACATTGTAGGGACAAAATTTCAACTCAGTGTTTAGAAATTATTGACATAGTTAAGTGTCTACATACACAATGGCTGGATATGACAAAGATATCAATTGCATCTATCCAGCTTACAAAGGATTTCACTACTTACATGGTAAAAGTACCATTATCCCTCTCTATAAGCACGTGTGGATTTTAGCCAGGGGAACTGACCCAGAATAGATCCTTCTGCATGTTCTGCAGGGAGGTTTTGCCTACTCAGTTTATACTGGAATGGCACTTTGACCTTTAGCATCAATATTACTAAATCTTAGATTTGGTTTTTCATTTTTTCATCAGGGACACATAGGCATCTCTGGAACAACATAAGCCTTTAGTTATGTCTAGGCTTTGGAGTGTGAATGATATACAATATGAAATGAAGGATTCATCCCATCGCTTACTTTAGGCTACAGGGAAAGCACCCAGGCACTGGGCTCCTTTCAGTAGGATTCATGAATGCCAGCCAGAGAAGTGGCAGGTATTTAAATAAATATCTTATGGGATCTGACCAATAAATTAGTTGCTATTCAATGGTTAACAAGTATTAGAACTCAAAATTAAATTTGTACATTACACTTACAGAATTCTAGTGAAATGCAAATTAAAGTAATATTTGAAACAATTACCAAAATATTTTAAAACTCTGACAGAATTATTAAGGGAATGGTATAGTTAACTGATGGTAGATTGATCTAGTGCTCTTAAGAAGCAATATGTTATCAAGAACTATAAAAATCTTCATTGCTTTGATCAAGTAATCTAACTCATAAAGTTCATTCGTTGAAATAACCCATAAGAAGCCTCATGTCTCTTTTATAAAAGTATTCAATTTAATGTTTTAATATATCAATATGTGGATTAGTCTAGTCCCAGTATGAACAGGATGGTTAAACAAATGAAGGTCCATTAATTGAATTGAACTTTGGGTAACTATTATAACAACATTTTATGAACACTATAAATAGGAACATGTCAACATGTGTGTACCCTGGGGCTTTGCAATTGGAGCAGATTACGAAAGTACATGTTCTCCATGGTTAGTACACTGAATATCCATTGGCTCATTTTATAAATGTTTTCAAACACTGATTACATATAACAGATGTGGGTGCTAGGTATGGGAGACCCAAAAATGGAAAGCTATGGTTCCTGCCCTCATTGAGGATCTGTCCTGCTAGAAAATAGTGAAATGAACGAATGAAAAATTACAGTAATTTATGAATTGTCATTGATGGATAGTAGGAGCCTATGATTTGGCTGGAGACATAAGGGAAGACTTCATAGAGGAACTAAAGCTATATAGAGACAAAATTGAAAAGGCATGGGGGGGGAATCAGTTGTACAATGGTAAAAGTGTTATAAATGACTTAAACTTTTAAAAACCTCTATATTCACAATGGAATACTACTCAGCTATAAAAAGGTGAAATCCTGGGCCTCCCCTGGTGGTGCAGCGGTTGAGCGTTGGGCTGCGAGGCTGCCTGCAGCGCCGGTTCTATCCCCGGCCACTGGTGAGGGTTCCACATGGTGCGACAAGCCTCTCCTGCTGCGCCTGCTGCTCCCCTCAGCAGTGTATTTCGTCAGTCTACCTGTTCTGTTCCTCACTGTGGCTCTGGTGAGTTCTTTCACCCTCCTGCACATCTGACTGTACTCAGTGCTTGTACAAATAAATAAATAAATAAATAAATCTTTTTAAAAATTAAGTTTAAAAAAAGGTTAAAAAGGTGAAATCTTGTGAAATCTTGTGTCATTTGTGACAAAATGGAAGTGGAAGGGGTTATTTTAAGCCAAATAAGCCAGAAGGAGAAAGAAAAACACCAGATAATTTCATTCGTATGTGGAATATAGGGAAACAAAGGAATTGACAAAATAAACCAAAACAAACCCTAAAAATATGATAGCAGAATCAAAACTACTGGAAGAGGGTGATGGGACTAAAAGGGGGACAGGCCCAGTGGTATATGGTGAAGGTGCCTTGGTGGTGAGGGTGGTGTAGTGACATGCATCCAGGGAGGTGTGAACGTATTTCGCTGCATCACATACAGTGTTGTTAACCAATGTTACCTTAGTAAAAAATTAAAAAACTTCTTGAAATTTAATAATATATCTTAAAACTTACCCAATTTATACAATTCAGTATTTTTTAGTACATTCATGAAGTTGTATAAACATCACCACAATCTAAGCTTAGAATATTTCATCATCCCAGAGGAGGGTTGCACTTTTGCTTTTTGAAATTTCTTCCAATATTTAATGTTTGTTTGTTTTTTAATAAAGAAGCAAGGTGTAAAGACAGAAACCTTTGATGTCTGCTGTTGTGAGAAAAAGTTTTACATTGCTCGTAAAACACATCACAAGCGCATCATAGTGTCTTTTAATTTTAAGTTTATTCGTGACAAGGTAAATACATACATGAAAATCTTCACAAATATCTACACACATTTTTAAATAAATGAGAAAAAGTTGTGTTCAAAGAGGGGTTTCAGTGGCAGCTAAGGACATGTCATTCATTTACTGTATAAAAAGCTCCAGGTTTATAAAACTCGATTGGCCCATTGTTTCCACACTTCAAAAGCCAACCGCAAGAATTTTAAAAGGAACACCTAAGCTATAATAGACTCTAACAGAAGCACGGCGCATTATGAATTATGGGGGCAATTGGTGATGCCAGGATGAGAAGCAGACACACAGGTGCACTGGAGAGCATTTTCCATGAGGAAGGGATGCTCAAGTACTGATGAAGGGGTGGAATTCCTGGACCTCAGCTGTCACCATTCTAGTTTCCACATCTCAAGTGGCAGAGAGGGCCACTGCATGCGTGGTGTTTGAAACACCTGTGGGTAGCAAGGGCCATTCCTCTAGAACAGGACCAGTGCTGGATGGGACTGTGAGGAGGAGAGAGCTTGTCACTGAAGCTCATACTTTGTTCTGTCCTGGGTCCTAGGTCTCCTCACAGCTGGTGTAGTGTCCTCCAGGTGTCTGTACCACCCTTTACAGCATCCTACACTGACCTAGCCCTGAGAGTCCTGGGTTCTTTCACCAAAGGTAACAAGCAAGGGGGATATTCTCTCAAAGAGCTTAAACAAAATTCTGACTATCTAATCTCTATTGGTCAAAAGTCAGGCACTTTGACAGGAGTACAGGCATTACTGGTGGGGAAGGGTGGACGCAGAGACCTCTCTCAGACACCCTTCTCATCATAATAGTTGACCTTTCTGTAAAACCTATTCTGCCTAGAGGGCTAACACTCAAGAGCCCCAGAGGCTGTTTTGGGACCTTCTTTGAAGCCCATATGATTCTCCCTAAAATCAGGAACACACTCTGAGAGCCAGATTTTGATTCCTGACAGACTTGAAACTGCTACCATGACAGGATTTAATTCACAAGCAGGAAGAATGTGCATCCGTGTGTCTTTCCATGTGCCTTTCATTTGGTTCCCAATGAAGTTCTGCAGTCGGAGCCAGATGGCCTGTTTCCAGGTTAAGGCATGAGAAAATTCCGTGTCTGTGGATTTGACTCATCTTTCAAATCAAGTGTGATTGTTGAAATTGGGATACAAATTTTCCAACTGCTTTATAAACTCTAAGGATTTTGGTCCTTTTGTTCTATCATACTTAATATTTGGGATATTAATTAAAAAATAACTAATGCCAGTGTAAACATGCTTTAGATACATAGGTCTATAAAATATTGCACATAAATATAAAAATTTGTTCAGCATTTCTTCATAGTAATTTTTCATCATTATAAAAGGATACAAAATTGTGCAGACTAACTGAATTTGGCTGGTCAATTTTACTTCAAAAATAACATTATTACATGATTATGATTATTTACAAGAGTTTTAAATATCAAGATGGTTAAATTCAAGATGGTGGGAAGATAGCTTAAATAAAGATTACTTTCCAAAGTTATGTAATATAAAGATTAACAGTAAAAATGAATAGTAAAGTTGGAGCAGGCAATTCTAAAGAAAATCCACTTTCTAGGTTCATCTCACATTTGCATAACTTTATATTCCCTTCCTATTTATGTTTAACATGTTTTATCTGTGTTTGCAAGTTTGAGATACAGTAGAGAAAATAGACATTTGATCCCAAACTAAATATTGGTGTTGCTTTTTAAAGATACTAAAAATACTGTGTTTACTGATGTGTTACATTGCTTTTTTTTACTAATAGACCTTAGAAATTTTACCATTACTTTGAAACACAATACCAGGTGGAGAGTATCTGTATATTTATGCTTTGTCAATTAAGTCAATGGAAAGATTATGTTTTTAATAAAGGGAAATTTAAATGCAACTTTGTGTAAAGCTAAATTAAGCAAATGAGAGTCTTTGGAAAGTAGAATTAATTTTAGGAAGAAGGCAGCAAGGTATTAAGTGAAACTGTATCCTAATACCGATTTGCTGTTCCTTAACCCATTTGTTGTTCCTTTTGCTGTTAAGGAACAGCAAAAGATGTGTTGATTTATCTGCACAAATTGCTTATCTTAGTAGAAAAATTTAGTGAATGATTTGAAAACTAGCTAAGCAAAACTTAACTTCCAAATCTTCTAGATGACCAGAATATCAGCCTAGAGAAATGGAATATAAATAAATAAATTGCTATCCTCACAAGATTATCTTTGTCATTTCAAAAGTACTTTTTCATTAAGTACTACCAACATATGTTTGTCTCCCTGAGCCATAGCATCAGTTAGAAATGTTTCTTTTCCATAGGGAGGTGTCAAATATTCCTTTGGGTACAGTAGTGTTGGAAGGTTTGGTCCTAGTTCACCCCCTAAGTTCTGTAGTAATTCAGACATTTTGTCTTTCTGGCTTAAGTTGCATTTACCTGGAAAGCAAGCTCAGTTCCCAGACCCATTTCAAAGTGTCTGCCAAACACAGGATGACAAAAGCGAGAGAAATCTGCCACAACTGCTGATGGTTCTTAGAGCGTGGAGGACATTTCCTTTTTCAAAGGGGCCTCTGGGCCCATGGCAACTTTTCCAAAGCATGGTGTAGATGAGGTCCTATTTTCCAGGGCTCTTGTATTTCCTAGGTCACAGGAAAGGGCCAGGAAGATCTTTCTTTAATCCTACTGTCCTTTCTTTTCTTTGAACTGGACCAGGGTTTGAGTTTTTAGGTTTTTGGTTTTCCTTTTCATGCCTCGGGGGTTTTCTCATTTGTCAGTTGTTCCGTGTCAGTCATATCATCTTTAGGGGGTCTTGCTCTGTCAAAGAATCCACACTATGGAAAAAGAGAACAGGTTATAAATCAAGTCATCCTCATACTAAAATTTTTTGCTTTATATATTTTCTAAAGAACTTGGAGCTCTGTGAATAGAAACTATAGAATTCTCTATATTCAGAGGTGAAAACAGTGTGTTCTTTACCTGCAGAGAGGAATTCATAGCATAGGAATGTTGTGATAGTGGGAGAATGCCCGTTTTTTTACAGACCACTTGACTTTGTATAGTGTCCTGAGAATACACGAATGGCCCAAGGAGTCCCTTTTTGCTTTCCTGCCTGTTTTCTGTAGCAGTAGGCATGCTAACTGTTGACCAGGGAAGCGGGTTCTCTGTGTACTGGAGGCACCCTTAGGAATGATTAGAGTAGGATGAGAAGAGATGGTTGCATATTCCTCTGCACTTGATGGAACATGTAGTATATAGAGAGGAGAAACCTAGATTTCTCATTTATTTCAATCTCAGAACACCTTGTTGAATATCCAGATTAGCCAGCAACTCAAGTAGGTTGATTCTGGAATCTCTTCTCTTGAATTTCAAGTTGATATTTGGTATAGGAGAATGTATCTTTTCCTAGAAACTTTGCCACTTGGCTATTGCAGGGAGAGTCTTCTTTATTGCAGCTGATGTTGGAAGCCTAATTCACTGGGCTGGCTTACAGCTATTGAGTCCAGCTTTTGTTGATAGGACTGGGACTATATTCTGTCGATTGGCACATACTGCTATCATTTATAGAAACAGAGTTACTATAACTAACAATAACAGACATTCATTTCTAAATAACATAAAAGTCTATTTCTATGATTTCATAGTACACTATGTAAGCTTAAGAGGGCACAAAATAGCTAATAATGATTGAGAAAGTCATTATTTAACCCACAAGTCAGTTTTCTCAATTTATTAAGCATACCACATATTATGTTAAGCTAAAAATAGGCTCTGATTTTGCAGAACCACAATAATAGTGGTTAAATAAGATGTGACTTGATTAATTACTTTTATAGTCATGTAATTGTGACATTGTTTCTATTTTGCAACTGAAAGCTTTGTAAAACTTGGCAGTTGTGTTGGTTTGGAGCCAGAAACTAATTCCTATCGTAGCCTTCTAGAACAAATGTTAGCAAAACACATGAAAGAGTAAGCGAAGGCTTCCTGATGGAAACAGTCTAAATTGGCAAGGTTAAAAAAAAAATTCCAAGGATATTATAACAAAATGATCTATTTGGCTTAAATATAGTCGACATTTAAAAAAATCAGAATTGATATATGTTAATTGCATTTATATAATTTTATAAAGAAAACTCTCAAAGGATTGATGATAGAACCACATCAATAAAAAAAAAATAAGTATCCACAATAACATTGTCACTCCAAGCACAAGGAAAGACCACAGGTCTTAGTTAATAATGGCTAAATATCTATATATTTATTTACAAGAAATCTCTAAATAAAAATAACATTAAACTCCCTCAGTCTTCTTAAGTGTCAGCTACATAAATATACTAAGTTTGCCAAAGCAAACAAAATTCAATGTTCTTTTACATTGTTAAAAGTTCTCAAATGGTGCCTCTAGTGTTGTCTTTTTAAATTTCTGGGTATACGCCCCTCAGAGGCCTTTCTACTCAAAAAGAAAAGAAAGTAAATAAACTTACCTTCCATAAAGCTAAGGTCAAAATGGCCAGAACCAGTAATCCAAGAAGTATTGCTAATATTATTACCCATAATGGGATTGAGAAGGAAACATTTGGGGTTGCCCAAATAACTGATGTCTTGATCTGAAATAGAAAATGAAGCAATTGAGCTCTAATTTGGAAACTACTGGATGAAATAAAGCAGTAATTACCAAAATAATATTGGGGACAGTTCCTATAGGATCCATATAATAATCAGAATCATCCCACAATTGCGTTCCATATCCTATGCAAGTGTTCGGAATTGCCAAAATTCACTAACAGGTGGTTTACAGTAAGGTAGGTAACCATACGTCTCAATCTCCTCTTCTCCTGATTTACCTAATTAATATCTTAAGGCACCTCTTCCACTTCATGTTAAACACAGAAAACAGTCCTAGTTTTGTAAGTAAAAAATAAAACCTAAACAAGTTGAAATAGGGTCATAAACTGATCGAAGTTTTAAGGTTATATTTAAATAAGTTAAAATAAAATAAAACACTAGTTCAGTTCTTCGGGCATAGAGGCCACATTTCACTCACTAACTACATGTAGTTACCATATTTGACTGAGAAGCGTCAGATTATTTTGTATATTCTCATATAAGGTGTGGTTTGCTGCATTACCCAAGCCCAGCTTCATAAGAGTCTTTCATTAAGAAGCAGTTCCAAAGCTGAAGATGGGGTATACTTACTTTTTTTTTTAATTAATTAAATTTTTTTCTTACATTGTTGTAGTCCCTTGGGATATATTTAAACTAAAGGTTTACTTTAAGATAGGGGCTTGTAATTTCATGGGGTGTTCAATAAATATTATTTGAAATAAATGAAAAATTCCTTCTATAAATAGTACTTTAAAAAAGAAGGGTAACATTGAATAACTGTTGCCCTTAAAATTTAGGAAGAAAAATTTAATTGTATGCCAATTAATCCACAAACTGTTTTACTTCCATAGCTCTTTTGAAGGAATAGTGTAAGATCTTAACAATTCACTTGTTGTTAAAACTATCTGCCATTTTAGGAAGTGGGATCCATAAATTTTAAGTGGTTTAGATGTTCTTAAAGTGATGTTAAGTAGAGAACATTTAATCTTACCTTCACCGTGTTATAAATCTTCTTGTTTTTTATTAAGGTAGAAAGACCATAAATAAATTTTAATATGCCTACATCTTAATATTGACATTTATGATATGGTTTTGTATATTTTGACAAAATACCAAGGTAGAAGGGAAAAGCCCCCTTGTAATTGCAAAGTGTAATTAATGTTGACATCTGTATTTATGTATTGCAAAATCTTGTATAAACATACTTCAGTGGGGTCACAAGAATGTTTTAAATAAATGTACCAAGACACCCTACCTATAATGCCATTTAGAACAAAATAACAACACAAAGTTAACCAGTTGAACACACATCTTAAAAACATTTAAATAACCCCTTATCAGGGTCCTTATCAAGTAGTCCTTCTCAAGTTTGGGCTCCAATTGTTTAATATAAAAATTCTGCTTTAAAGCCCTAAGTTCTCCTAATAATTCTGAACACCAAACGGATTCACAGCTTACGGATGGGGTTCTTAAATTAGAATTTTCATGTAGTATTTATGATAACTACCTTTGGGGTCATAATAGATAGCAATCTTTTCTAAATGTAAATTAGGGAATTCGACTTGGCATTAAGGGGATGCCAAGTTCATTGGTAACCAAAAAAAATGCTTAAATAGCTGAATAATTTCTTTTCTACCATGTTGTAATGATTCGGTGTTGTAACCATTTCCTCACCTCTGGACATGACAAGTGTCTTGTCACGTGAGGAGCTTATTTTTTGTAAACACAGACACTCTGCAAGGAGCAGAATGGGATTTCTATTTTCTTTACTATGTGAAGTTTATATAGACCTCAAGAAATGACTGATTTACAACCATGGTGAAAAGGGAGCCCCAACAGACTAATCATCCCACACAGGGGCCTAGGAAAACAAGCAAACATTATTGAGTTTCTTTACAAAAGAAGGAATGGACAATTTCCTAATGTCAGAGTATAGATTGGAATTTTGATGATTCTCAAACTACCTATTCCAACTATTTTACCACTTTCAAGTAACTCCCTTCTGCTGAACTCTTTTCGAGATAAGAAGGACAAGATTTTTGAGAAGATCTTGCTATTGAAAAAAATTCTGCCAACTGCAAGCACACGAAGTTCCTTCACACGAAGCCACCGAAAAATTGTTTTCCAGAAACAACTTTCTCCTGGCAAGATTAATCAAGGATTATGGGGAGACCTAGAAACACCACCATTTCTAAATGTTTTTCTAATAACCTTTACATAAATCATGTGGTAAATCACCTCCATCAGATAACAAGACTTTAAAAAATGCAGGAACGACAGTGGTGGGGGTGGAGAGGCATGCATTTGATCACTTTGTGCCTCTTTTGAGATGAGTTGAGAACAGCAGGCTGTCACCTGTGGCCAGCACAGAAAGATGCAGCAGTGCTGATGGAATCGACTGTGACATGTGTTTCTGTTAGGGAACATATGCTGAGAGAAAACAAAAGAGCCCAGATTTATCTCCCTTAGAGCTACAAGCCTTTGAACCTCTTTGGATGAACACTCTATATTAAAAACCTTTGCCAAAGCCTCTGTTTTTTAGGTTGAACATAAATCCAAACTATAGCAGACATCTTGTGAGAGAAAGAGAGCTCAGGAGGTAAATGAGGAAAGATGTGGCAGTCCTTGCTTTAAAATGCCACCAAAGTTTATAGACATAGTTTGTGCAAATCTATTGGCCAGTTTCGGCCTACATTTGGGGAAGGTTATAAACATTTAATCGGACTGGAGGCTTACCTTGTGCCAGGTACAATGCTAAGGCTTTCGAGATATAATTTTATTAACTTTCTTAACAGGTGAATATGGGGAATATGGTAAGTGTCTCAGTGAAGTTGAATGACTTTCTGCAGGTCCCCTAATGAGAGTGGGGTGCAGCCAGGAAGACCTATATTGAAAGTTGTGGATTTTCCTCTACCCTGCCTCTGCGCTGGAGTTTTCAGGAATGGTTCCAATGCTGAGTCCTCACTTCTAGTGCTTATAAAGCACAATGCCAGGGCCCCATCCTGGGCCTACTCCACCTAGCAACTTGAGTGAGGTCTTAGCACACGTGTGTCTGTAAAATCATCTGCAAAGATGATCCTTTTGCACACTTGGGGCTGAAAATCACTAATCAATGGATTAACTGAATCTACTAAAAGTAGATTAAGCTAGACAGATTAAATATTACATTTATACTTGTAATATTTAATTATATTAAATAATTATATTAAATATTGTGATGAGAAATCACAATAGCAGAGGCTTATATACTGCCCAAAGCAGAGCTTCTCAACTTTTGTTGTGCATGTGCTGCCCAGATGATTTTGATAAAATGCAGATTCTTTGACTCAGCTGGTCTGGGGGGAGGCCAAAAATGATATAATTACAAAGAGGTATTGGTCATGCCCTATAATTTTTTGGGTGTAAATTTATATTGAACTTTTACAAATTTGATCCAATGACACTAAGAGATTTCTAGCCTGGAATAAGAAAATAGGGATCTGAAGAAGGAAACTTTTCTCAAATCAATGCAATCACTTAAATCTACCTCAAGCTGAACAATGGTTAGAAAATTACAATTTCAGTGAAATTTTAGTGCCTATATATATGTTTAAAAGATACTCACTGCTATGTTTCCTTCTGGGAGTTTTGCTGGCTGATCTCTATAAGGCATCTTCTTAACTTGAAAGGATACCAGGGATGCAAGAGAATAGGGATCATTTTTTCTCTGAAAGTAAAAACAGTTATTTATATACTCCATGTAAATCTTTTAAAAATTATGCTGGAAAAAAATTTATACTGGCAGTCACACAATTGTTTTCAGTGTTTTCCATTTTCAAAATAAAATTTCTTTTTCCCTTTCTTTTATTTTTACCCCATCATTTACCCATCCATCCATTCATCCATCAATCCATCCTCCAAATAAGATATACAGATGGCAATAGGCACATGAAAAAAATACTCATCAGGGAAATACAAATCAAAAAACACAGTGAGATACCACCACCTACTTGTGATAATGTCCCATATAAAAAAGATCAGAAACAAGTGTTGGCAAGGGTTTGGAGAAAAAAGAAACAGTACACTATTGGTAGAAATGTTTACTGGTCCAAACTCTATGGAAGTTTCTGAAAGTTCCAGTATGGAGGGTTCTGAAAGCATTAAAAATAGGTCTACCATATGATCCAGCAATCCCTCTCCTAGGCATTTAAAACAAAAACTCTTAATTCGAAGGTATATATGCATTCCTATGTTCATTGAGTCATTATTTACAATAGCCAAGCTATGGAAACAAGTGTTTCCATAACAACACATGAGTGGATAAAGAAGATGCAGTATATACATACAAGGAAATACTACTCAGCTATAAAGAAAGATGAAATTGTGCCATGTGTGGCAACATGGATGGCATAGGAAGGGATTATGCTAAGCAAAATAAGTTAGAAAAAGAACAAATACCAGATGATTTCACTGATATGTGGAATGTGAAAAACAAATCAAAGGAACAATCAAACCAAACCAAAACAAACCCATGGACTCTGACAGTAGAACTGAGGTTATGGGAGGAAAGAGCAAAGGATGGATGGTATCCAATGAACTGTGGTGGAGGATTATTTGTATTTTGGTGGTGGATGTGGTGTGGCAACAGTCATTTGAAAAGGTGTGAACCTGTACTCCCAAAACATACACAGTGCTGTAAACTGTTGCCTCTAAAGAAAAGAAAAAGAAAAAGAAGGGTCTTCTAGTCTTTCAGTTGGAAAATGCAATTTTTTAAATCTTTTTTTCGCAGATGATCTAGACAGCCAAGGAATGGGAATTGTGATCTATTAAGAGTATGGTAGCCTGAGTCAATGCCACAAATACACCAGTACTGTTATTAAAGGTCAAAGATATGGCACTGGCAAGAATTTAATGCATGTAAACAATTTTTTGCAGAGTCATATTATTGATTGCAAGTTCAAAATTGAGTGCTTCATATGTTTTATATCACAACTATATTATTCTTAGATTAAAAAGTCTCCTCTTCCTCATAGCAACCTATTCATGTAATAGTAATCACTGTCTTATTGTTGGTGATTTAGGGTAGAAAAAGCAGCTGGAGTTACTATCCCTTGACAATGTCTTGGAGCTTCAACTTGAGGAAGGTAGTTATTAAATCTCAGAAAATACTCTTTCCTCTGTCAGTGATGACTTGCTTAAACTGTGCTTTGCAGGCTCCGTTATGTACTTTCCACAATAATTTGCTTATGGTTGAGATGCTAATAAAAGTTACAGGGTTGGTAGCAAATAGAGAAAAGAGTGAGGCTTCTGGGCTGGTTTCATACCTAGTGTGGTTGGTGGCATCATAAAGTCTACCACTCCCACCGTCCCACTGCTTCATTCCTCATCAAAACTATTTTTAACCACATATCCATCTTATCTAGTCCATGTTTGAATACTCAACATTTACCAGAAACAAACACTTGTGAGAAGATAAAACCTGAGCAATTACTGGTAAAACTCGAAGCTGAAAAGAAGGTTTTTGTTGGAAGTAGAGCTCACAGAACAGGGAATTGTTTAGGATTAACCTCAATAAAATCTTTTTCCTGAACAGGGTGCATGTTCACCATGCAGACAAGAAACAAACATAGTGTAGCAAATCATGTCAGCCAAGGTTTGGAAACTTTTATCCTGGATTAGGATGGAAAAAATTGTTTACCACCTTACAGTTTTCATGAAGAATCTATTAAAGACCTTATCTATCTATATCTATCTACAGCTATAGACTGGAATGAGCAGGAACTATGTTTGAAGTGCAGAGATTTGGGATGTGGGTATGTATAGATATGCAATGATGTGAGACTCTGTCCCTTATCTTTGGAAATGGCACTTCGCTCTGATAGGACGTCCCTGCAGATTGTCATGGTCTGACTCTACTGGTACTAAATATTTATTGTTTGGAAAGTCCATTATTGTTATTGACTTCTTCCAGTCTCACTGGATCTTCTTAACAGGAAAATGAAGATGCCATTTTCAGTGTGCTGGAATAGAGCATCATACACATAATGAGACATGACGTCTAAAGTAACCATTTTCCCCTTGATGTCCCTTGTCATCATGATTGAGGTCCTGCTTCATTGGGACACCCTTTTCATTTCAGTAGCATGTGATGTCTGCCCATAGGAGGAATGTAGGTTCTCTTTTGGCCTGTGTGGGCCAACTAAACTCTTAGATAAGGTGTAACAGCCCCAAAGCAGAGTAATTCTGAGCAGATTGATGAAATGCAAGTGGCACTGGAGGTAGTGAAATGCAAGTGGTACTGGAGGTAGTGCCTGGTGCAGAGTTGATACTCCACAAACATTCACTGAGTAAATGAATAAATAATGGTTGAACTAAAAGAGAACAAGAATCAAATAAATTGTGCACTGCAGTTTTCCATAAGTCACTTGTCCAAAACCAGGGGTATTCTGTCACTTGGGGACAACTGACAATATTGGAGACATTTTTGGTTGTCACACTGGGGTGTCAGTTGCCACTGGTATCTAGTGGGTGGAGGCCAGGGATGCTGCTAAATATTCTACAGTGCACAGGACAACCCCCACACCAAAGAGCTAGAAGGTCCAAAACAGTAATAGTGCTAAGGTAGAAGAATTCTACCTCAGATTAAAAAAATAAAAGGGGGCTTCACAACCATCTCTTAAAAAACAACTTTAATTTCCCTACTGCTTATTTAAGAAACAAAAATAAGATTTATGAGCATATTTTGAATGGCAGCAAACATGAAAATCTAGAACTACAAAATTCTATATTTATTAGCAGAGCTCAAGAAAATTTTACCATTTGATTTTCTTTGGTACACTGAACCAGATGAGCAAGAATGTATATTCTTGGTAGGGGTTTAATTTGGCTTCCCTACCAAATCTTTCTAAAACAGTAAGGTCACAGCACAGAAGTATAATTTAAATAAAGAATGCTTTCTAAAGGGAAAATTTCATCTCCTTAGTATAAAAGAAATTTTAAACCTTTGAAATGCACAGTCAATGGAGTTATCTATGGGATTCCATGGTGCAGATAAAACAGAGCAGTGAGGAATGTACTAAGCACACGTATCAGGAACTTTATTGAGATGCTCTCCTGGCTAGAGTCCAAGCTGTGGGATCACTAAGCCAGTGGAACTTTCTAAGGCAATCTCCATTTCCCCTTATAAATTGACTTCTATTTTTACTTTATTGGGCATATGGCTTGAATTGTGTTCCTGTACTCACCCACACTTCATTGACTAATGTTTGCTGAGGAACTGCTAGGTGCTGGGTATAAAAAAAGCAGAGAGCTAAACAGCATTGTTTGAATCTAAGTTAACATATGAAGGTCATAGATATTCATTTTATTTAAATTGTCTTCCTTAAATATACATACATATATATATACATTTAGACTTAGGATATTTAAATTGCCTCATATGTATAGTATTATATATGATGATATAATATGCAATTATATTAATGCATTTACTTATGTTATATAAATACAATTAATTATTTGTAACATTATATATAATATATGATATAGACTTTGGTAAAGACAATAAAAATAGCCCAAGTATAATGCAATATTATCCAATCATAAGAAAGAAGGAAATGTGGCTGGAAATTGAGAGCACTATGCTAAATGAAATGAGTCAGATAAAGAAAGACAAATGTTACGTGATCTTACTTATATGTGGAATCTCAAAAAGCCAAACTGAGGAATAGAAAATAGAACAATTGTTACCAGAGGCTGGGCGAGTTAGAGGGGGCTAGGGGAGATGTTGGTCAAAGGGCATAAACTTCCAGCTATAAGATCAATAAGTTCTGGGGATCTAATGTATAGCATAGTGAGTATGATTAACAATACTGTACTATAAACTTGAAAGTTAAGAGAATAGATATTAAAAGTTATTAGCACACACACAAAAAGGTAACTATGTGAGAAGATGAAGTTATTTAACCTAATTGTATAATGATTTCTCAATATATACATTTGTCTAATCATCACACTGTGTATTTTAAAATTACATGTTATATGTTAATATCTCAATAAAATCGGAAAGAAATTATTGTCACCTGGTAAGAAAGATGACCATTGGATCTTGGCTCAACTCCTCCACAGAAATTTCTTTTTAAAATTTAAAAGATATTTAGATTAAAAAATGTTAAAATTTTAGTTCAATTTAAAATTTAAAAATTTTTTAAATGAAAAAATTGCAAATTAAAGCCTCTTTTAACAATAAAAAATTAAAACATTTTAGAACCCTTAAAAATTTTTTTCTCTGAGCTTTTGAGTAAAGGTTCCCTGGAGAGGTATGTATGTACACCAATATTTTTATTACCTGGAGAAATGTCTTAGCCCATAGCCGGGACTGGACTTTCAGGACTGCACTTTCTCCTCCTTCTAGTCGTCCCACCACACAGGAGATCTGCAAGCACTCAATATTTGTACAGTTCTGAAAAAAAAACAAAAACAAAAACAAAAACCAGCAGTAGTAGCAAATTGTATATTTAAATCATGATAGAGAACCAAACTTTTTATTGATATTTTGTTTCCTCAGTGTCCGGGCCAGCCGGGCAGATCAACGGGGTACCCGTGGGAGGAAGCAGGGGCTTGGTATGGGACAGGGGTACGGGAGGAGTGGAGACAAAGCCAGGATCATCGCCAGTCTCATTTATTCAGGAATGTGTACAATGTTATATAGGGTTCAGAGGAGGAGGTCTCTCGTTATCTCTAGCAAGGAGAGACCACCAATGCAAACAAGCCACAGTAGCAAGCAGGGGGAAAGGTTCAGTCATCACAATAGGAAACTTGAAACCTTCACTCGAGCTAACATTCAGTACCTGCTTCAGGCAAGAACCCGGATGTTCAGGTCTGGGCCCCAGGTCTGGGCCCCGACACTCAGTTGTCACCACCTCATCCATAAAATATTAATTTGAATAAAGAATAAGTACATGGAAAAAGCCAAGAAAAAAAGTACAGCTTAGTGGTAATAATGCATCAACTTCAATGGTTGTAGAGCGAAAATGGAACATAAAACAACATAAAATCAAAGCTCTTTCCTAAGGACTTTGAACAACCTTCCTGCAGTCTCAATTGCATAGTTCTGTTTCATTTTCTCAGAACTCCAGGAAGGTATTTCTTAAGGCATTCATAACACAAGAACTTGGACTAAGCAGGTCCTAAAAAGGCTTCAGATCAAGGTCCCTGAGTCTGTACTATCTGCAAGATGCCATATTAATAAGCCTTTGACAAACAGTGAGTGTTAGGGTGATAAACAGGCTCTGCTGCTGTGAGTTCAATTTATTAAGCAGGTTTTTTTATTAACCAGTTTCTAGAGTTGCCAACTTATAATGGGTAGCTTTTTAAAATATGAGGTGCATGTTCTTGAAAAGTGCTCATTATCATGACGTTCTACCTATTAAATTGTATTTTCTGATTGGATCTCAGAATGGAATTAAAAGGACACCTCACAATTCATTTTCACTGTGCCATGTGTAGGATGGCACTTCTGGAATTGTACTCCACTGATTTGAATTTAGCATCTGGGCTATGCTTTATTAATTTTTCATATCTCAAGCACTGGACACTGGCCTATAGTTGCTCAGTAAAGATCAGTTTACTCAATGTTATGTGAAGTAATTAAGTGAGGCAATTCAATTTAATGAAATTGCTAAACCACAGAATCTGATGAATGTATTATCAGGAAAACCTTTTTAAAGAACTGTGGAATTCTCTAAAAACAAAGCAATCTGGAATGTATATGTGATAAATTCCAGTATGGCCAGAGTTTGACATTATGTTCCCAAGGACAGTGGTTGGGCTGGCTGATTCTACCAGAATTGGGTACTGACTTATTTGGAGTTTTGCGTCTATAGTAGGAGTAGGAGCCCTTAAAGTTCTGCAGTTTGTCACCTTTGAGGTTCTCATGTATATGTAATGCCATTATCGATATATTCTTCATGTCCTATCCTCTAGAGGCAAAAGAATCAGAGGAGGTAATTCTTGTAAACTCCGTGGAATGGTAATCCAGTTAGCTAGACTTGTTGGAGAATCTTGAGGAAGGTGACTTTTGGAAAGAATCATAAAGAATGAGAATTACCTAATGTATGGGATGGTGGAGACATGGTTCCCTTATATAAGGCAATGCATGTTCAGAAAAAGAGAGAAAAGTGTATCTGGGTATAATGTGGAAGAGGGAAGTGAGATGTGAAAAAGAGAAAATCTAGGTGGTAAAGAATCTTCCTGTTTGTGCTAGGGAGTTTAGATTTTATTCAAAAGGTCCTGGGAGCCTCTGAAGCATTTTAAACCAGGGATATGATCGGGCTTATATTTTAAGGCACAGGATGAATGTGAGGAAGGAAAGGAAAGAGGAGATTGGGAGGCAAGGAGGATATTAAGAGTCTATTTCAAAAGTCCAAGCAATAAATGAGAAAGCCCTGAATCCAGGTCTTGGAAATGGAAGACGAAGATGAATTTGAGAGTAGTTTAGGCAGTGGAATAGACACTTGGTGACTAATGGGAGGTAGGGGTGAAGAAGAGCATGGGTATAGAGTACTCTTTGACTTGGGAAACTGGCGGATGGGTACTGGCATTACTGAGATGGGAAATTCTAGAGCAGAAGGTTTTGGAAGTCATGGAAACACAGTATTAGGCATGTTGGAACGGAGATGATTATTGTACATCCAGATCAACAAATACATCCAGCTCAGCAAACACAGTGAGACTTTCAAGGGCTAAGATACCAGGAGGCACACCTCAGAATGACTGGATCATGCAAAAAACTTCCATGAAAGAGCAAAAAACAATAGAGAGAAGAGGTGGGCCAAGGATAAATCCTGAGGTTCAGGAGCATGTAAGGATGCGTAGAAGACAAATCCACAAAAAATGTTGAGGGGCAGGCCAAAAGGTAGGAAGACAACCAGGAGAGAATGTTTTCAGGGAAGCTGAGGAATGCTATTGTTTCAGGAAGTAGCCAATAGTATCAAATGTTAAAGAGGGTTAGAAAGATAAGGTTTCTGTAAGCTGAGCACTGAGGAGATGGGGTGATAACTACCAAAGCAGCAGGGGCCCAAGATGAGAAAAGCAAGGAAAGTTTTAGGCAGAGGAGAAATTATATTTCAGTGTTACAGATAGACATTTTTTCTATGCAAATTAGAAATTATGATCCCAACACAGGATGTTGGCATTTTGCACTTTAAAATTCCTAATCAGTAATGTGATTCAGTAAGTTGTTTTTAACTAAACAAAATCTGTAGGAGGTCTTATTTAGCTTTTGATTTTAGAATAAACTTTGCATAATCACTTTCTCTCCAGAATTGTTTTGACTTGAGGACATGGGGAGGTGTAGGATTTGCAATTTTGAACCAATAAGAAAGAAAATAAAATATGAGTTAACAAAATCAGATATGGAAATCAGGATTGCCTTGCTCTCATCTGCAAGTAATAAATTTCAATGATACTCAGAAGTTAAAAATGAACTGCCTTTAAAAAATCCTTAATGAGAAAAAAGTAGAGGGAAAAAAACTTTACAGCACAAGAGCAGATAATTTTCAAAAGAGTTTTAGTTATTAATCTCTACTACCTCCGTGGACTCTTGAGACATATGCTGAAGTGGACACAGAAAAACATATTTTAACCTTGATTTTCCAAATTGTTAATCCTCCATAAATTTGGATAATTGGTTTTCCAGAGGGGTTCCCCTTGGTCCTGCATATTAGAATTCTATAGATGTCAATCATTGTTTTCTATTGTTCTTATTAGAAGCATTTTAGAAACAATATGTGGAATTGTTAATTTATTCTAAAGTGAATAGCATGTTACTTCCCTACTCTTACATTAAAAAAATATTACAGGGTCATAAAAATTTATAGGGACTTCAACCACAATTTGCCAACTGACACAGCCATGTAATTTCAACTGCTTGATCATAAACATTCCTCTCTTGATTTAATTTTGACCAATTAAATTAGACTTGCTCCTTTTACTTTTCTGTCCATCTCCATCTTTGAAAATTTTTATATTGGCAGCCTCAGTCAAAAATGAATGTCAGAGAACGTTTACGACCTGTTTTTTGAAAACCATTTTTTAAGTTAGCATTCACACTGGAACAAGTGAAATTTGAATAAAAAAAAATCTGACTCCTGACTGGTGTCTATAGTTTTGTTAAAGGCTGACTCAGCTCAGCCTACATCTACCTCAGAACCTGAACACACCATTCTCGTTCTTGCTGACAGACCGAGGACTCTGAGAACCAGGGCAATGCCCCTGTACAAGGCCCCACGGCTTGGGCAGTGCTTGTCCAGGCCCATTGCAAACTCTTACCGCTGAGTCTGCAGATGAGCTGATGGAATCTTTACATTCTTGAAATGAACTAAAAGTCACACTTTCTGTTTTCATCATTATTTCTCTAATGTGGCCTGCATGGCAGCTTTAGAAGAATGAAAATGTTATATTGCGATTGTTCCTTTGTGCCCATAGAAACACTGCTTTCCTTTCTCACAATATGTCCTGCCAAAAAACATCAGGCATATCTGCGCATTGGAGAAGACTGTAAAACAACACTTGAAGTTAAAAACATGTGTATTTGGGAATTGTGTCCAATCCAATTCTTCCCCTTAGCTAGATGCACACTGAGATAACGCACCAGAATTTTTGTGGGTCTCTGTCTTTGGGGCTCCGGCATAGGGACATCTCTCTTCCTGATAAGATGAGGGATGGTCGAGTTTCGCAAAAAGGCACTAAGCTCAGGGGTGTCCTCTGGGGGAGCGGCAGGCTGCAAACAGAAAACAAGAGATATCACATACAATTATACTAACTCTTGATACCTTTTCCTTAGCCTTGAACTCCAGGCAGTATTTTTCCTGCCACTGAATTTGATCTACATGAGACTACAGACATGTTGTCATATACCAGCAGCATGTTCAACAGCAAAATTCACTGCACTGACCAGGAACGAGTCTTTTTATTCCCCAAATATAGGACTTCATGAAGGATGAGGAATGCATTCCTGGAAAGTTTATCTTGTAAGGATAAGATTTAAAGCAGAAGTGCGTCCCCATCAGGATAGAAGGCATGGGGGTGACTACTTGTTACCTTCCTCTCACATTTTACCTTGTAAATGGTTAAACTCATTAAAGGAGAAGCATTCTGTGTGGGGGGAGATGGATTGGAGGTGGCAAAAAGTGAGGTGCTGATGGTGGGCAAACAGTTTGGTGAGATCGAAGAGCTGACATCAGACATCAGGCGTCTGAGCCCCACACCCCTGTAGCTGTAAGAAGCACCCTCAGGAGAAAATCTTGTTCTAGTGAAAATGACATTTCCAAAGCCCACTGCTTCAACCCTGCTGTGGTGGACCTTGTTTTCAGGTCTGAATTTGCCTTGTAAATGTTCTAGAACTTACAATTTTATCTCAGGCCCCAGGCTGGGTATATCTGATGACTAAATAAATATTTTGAAAGTTCCAAGAAAACACACATATTATCCCATTAACATTCTTTATTTTAGATGAACTGAAGAGAGAAGCCTAACTGTCCGCAAACCCTCTCCACCCCCAGCACATCTTCTTTTCTAGCTTCTCTTTGTAGTCAGAGGGACAATAACAGTATCTTGTCTCTGTAGAATGAAGAAAAGATATTCTTATACTGCAGATTAGTGTGTACCTCAGAAGATGAAATGATAGAGCTCAGAATGTCCTAAGAACCTGGAAAAAATGTACCAAACAAAGAGAAAGACAGAATCCAGCCTCCTTAGCACGACTGACATGCAAGCCCTGTGGGTGCTGGCTTCAGCTTGCTTCTCCAGGCTCATTTCTCACCAGGACCCCTGGAATCCTGTTTTCCTGTGTGCAGAACTGCTGTCCCCTCTTTCATGCTCCAGGCTGGTTCCCTGGGTCTCTTGGGGGGGTGTCACATTATAGCTCTTCTCCCCATCAGTGCCTAACCAGCTCTATTGCCTGTTCACTGGTCTGAGTTGTCCAAAAAGAGGATGCAAAATAAAAGGCACAGTCACATGTAACACCCCAGGAAATATCAAAACAGGGAGAGGAAGAAGATCCAACAAACATAACTAAGATGGGGGGGAAACCATGCAAAATAAGGGAGTAAAAAAAAAAGTCAAAAACCTGCAGAAAAGTAAACAAGAGCTGAATGTGTCACTTAAGAGTTTATAGGTGTCCTTTTCTGAGCAGAGGATTTGTACAGGTGAAAATTGAACTGTGGATGCTAAAGAGTGAATAGGTTTGGATAAATGGATAATTGTTTGAAAAAGTATGAAATTAAATCCTAATTTTAGTCTCAGATAGACTAATTCCCAGGGGCTCAGGGATGAGATGTAGCCTCATCCCACGCAAAGTAAAAAAGCTCCAAAACCAAAACAAAATAAAACATGAATTTTAAAGTAGTCATTTACAATAGACAAAGGGTATTAATATAAAACTTTATGGGAACATACAGGTTATAGATAAAATAATGGCATTTATACAAAGACTCCTGTATAGTTTTTTAAAATGATTATGTAGAGCTGCAGAGTAATTTCAAAAGATTCAAGATCTTAGTAAGGGAAAAGGACAGGGAACTAAGTAAAATATATAATAAGATTTTTTTGAATAAAAATGGATTTATCCTTCCCTTGTATAGCTAGAAACAGAAAAAAAAATTCTAGAGAAATAGTGATCTAAGAGTTACAGTGAAGGAGATTTAATGATATTAATGAATTTTGATAGTTTCTTTTTAGATATGATAATGACATGGATTTTTAAAGAGGATGCTTAATTACTGGTAATACAAAATGAAATATTTATATATATAAAATGTGAATGCATAAATAGAAAATGTGACAGTAAATGGGTGGTGATATTAATAGAAATTTAAATTTTTCTTCTTTCTATTTTTACACATTTCCTGATATATTCTCAAAATGGATATTTAACATTTTAAAATACAAAACCCAGCCCTGGTATTTTATAATCATAATCAGAGTAAAAGAGGAATAAAAACTACAAATAGCAAGTACAGCTTGGCAGAAAATGGAAGGGGAAAGAAACCATTCAGTGGAGGAGGATGCAGAGCCAAATTATTAAATTATTATTTTAAATATAGAGGAAATTTAAATAAGTTGATAGGATCTAAGAAAGGAAATAGTGGGAAAGAAGTTTCCTATATAATATAAGGGAATGGGGGGGAGGTACTTGATGTAGAAAGTTAAATTTGGAACTGGAGGAAGAACTCTCCTTTTTCTGAAAGTGCTGGAAAAGAGCTGAGATTGAGGGAGAGATGATTAAAAGGTGTGTGTACATGTACTTATGCCAGGGCCTGGCACAGTGAGAAGCACTGCAAGCTGAAGAGTTGCTCAAGGATACTAAGTGATGGAGAATATACTAGAAAAGGCATGAAAGCAAGAGATTAAAACTTGAGCTTAAACCCAAATGCCCAAAAATAGACGACTGGATCAAGAAGATGTGGTACATATAAACAATGGAATATTACTCAGCAATCAAAAAAGATAAACTCATGCAATTTGCAGCAAATGGATGGAGCTGGAAGGGATCACGCTCAGTGAAATAAGTCAGAAAGAAAAAGAAAAATACCAAATGGGCTCACTCATAGCAGGAATTTAGAAAACCTAAATAAGGGACCAGGAAAAAAGACTAATTATAATAAAGTAAAAATCAAAATCAACAAGCAACTATATAAACCAGAGACACACTACAAGGGTGGGGGGAGAAGGGAGTAGGATCAAAACAAGGGGGGTGGAAATTGTATGGGGACTATAACCAAGATGAAAATGCATACATTGTGCAAAAATGAAAAATGATTAAAAAAAATATTAAATAAAAAAATGGAAAAAAACTTGAGTTTAGATGAAAAAAATGTGCAAATCTCTAAGATTCCCTAATATATTTTCTTTCATATTCTCTCTCATTTTTTTTTACAAATATCATGCATAATTTTGTTTATAGATCACTGGGAGATAAGTTACAGAGTTAACTCTAGGTACCCAAACTATAGAGAGGACATGCTGGAAGGAATGAGTTTATCCCAAGTTACAGGAGGAGGAAGTGGAGAGGGTAGAGGGGGAGGAGAAAAAACAGTCGCCCGAAGAGAAGAAAATGCTTCAACTTTCTTTTATGGTTTCACTGGACACAGTTAGTATATAAATAAAGAACACATCCCCCTGTGGTGGCCCCTGGTATATCATCATTCACAATTATTTGTAAGTGGTCTTTTAGTAAAACACTGGACTTAACTCTGAAGGAGAGAATGAAGGACTCACATGGCAAGGGGTGATCAATGACTTTTAGTAATGCTGTTTAACAAAACAGGGATGCCACTGCCACGCTGCAGTCTGAAAGTCTTCAAAAGGTTTGCAGGACCTTTGTTCTCAAGTGGAATGACAGAAATAATTTTAAACGAAAAGAGAGAATCAGAAGAAAACCAAAAACAAGGAAGAAATTATCCAGGAAATGGAAACAACAGTGGAAACGGTTAAAGCCTATTTTCTCAATGAATGTTTCAAACCTCTTTCACCACTGATCATGAACCCAAGGTTGTGGCTTTCTTTAGTCGGAAACCACAGAGGCGAGGGAGCCTCAGCTGCCATTAAAGCAGCCACTCAGTTCAGTGTCCGCTTCGCTAAGTGCTGTGAGAAGTTGGTGACACTAAATTAGAAGTAAAGTGGTGAAGAAGTAAAGTAGAAGACACGTCAGGATCTTCTTCAGAACAAATAGGAAAATTGTTCCTTTCTGCAGTAAGGAAACAATTGTTAGTAAGTGTGGATCTTTCCCCAGCTGCTACTCACATTTTGACCTCAACAGGAGTTTTCTATTTTCATAACTTCATCAAACTCTCTATTCTGGTATAGGTTTGAATTTATGGATTAAAGGGATACAGTGTAGCTGGAATGTACAACAAAATTGGAAATGTAGCTTCTGAAGAAAAGGATTGGGTAACATAGGATTAAAATAAGATTGAACCCAAACAAATCCAACACATACTGGTTTTCTTGTTGTTTGTGATTTGTTTGCAATTTGTTTGGATTTCACGTACTCCTATTGCACAAGAGATGGCGGACTTCTCTCATGTAATCTTTCTTTATAATTACATTGAAGTAGAGACAATCCCAGGGTATCTGTCTACAGTGTAATTTTCCTTAAGACATAAATGTTAAGGATTTGTTGGGAGACAAAGAAAAACCCAACACCTCATTTTTTTAAAACATGAAAGTTCATGCAATCCGTAACTAAAAGAATCAATTCACTTCATTGGTGATTTTGAGGCTCTACTTAGTTGGTGGACATGTACTTTTACGTTTTAAAATATGAAAATCGGGCCTCCCCGGTGGCGCAGCGGTTGAACACTGGGTTGCGAAGCTGCCTGCAGCCTCTGCAGTGCTGGTTTGATCCCCGGCTGCTCCCCGGCCACTGGAGGAGGGTCCTACATGGCGCGCAGACCTCTCCTGCCACCCGCTGCTCCCCTCAGCAGTGTATTTTGTCAGTCTGCCTGTTCTGCTCCCCGCTCTAGCTCTAGCTCTGGTGAATTCTCTCACCCTCCCACGCTTCTGACTGTACCCAGTGCTTATATAAATAAATAAATAAATCTTTAAAAAATAAAATAAAATAAAATATGAAAATCTGAAGCTCCACTTAAAGAGACATTGATTCTGAAGAAAACATTTTATTTGGTGGCTGAAAATTGGACCTACTGGTACAGTTAAAAGGAAAAGGTGACTGCATTTCCTCTATCAGAGGGGAACATTCCTGAGAGGGGAGGTGAGGAG